AATTAAACCCGGCTTCAATATACGTGTACATGTATTATAGCCATATCATGAATCCGTGGGAAAAAAGCCCGTTCGTAATTTTTCGGTTGGTAAGGCTTCTTCTTAGATGCATCCTTCGACGTAATTTTGCTCCAGTCTTTGCCCCCCCCCCCTTTTTTAAGCTCTTTGATTTTTTTTTCATTAAATATTTCGTATATCCAACTATTCGGCATGAGCATTACTGTAGATTCCTAAATATACGCGAGGAATAAATTATCGCGTAATTACGCGAGAAGCACCACTCGCGAAATAGAATTAGGCTACTCGCTTTTATTTTTATGGTGCTTTACTGTATATGTAAAATATCTCGATAAATCACCCATTATCGAATTATTGTTCTCGCAATTTGACGCCTTTCGGCCATTAAGTACTCGCGTAAAATAAGAAATCTACTTAAGAGACATAATTTGTTTAATGAGACACTGTGACGGACAAATGGGAAAATTGACAGAAGTAAAATCTTTGCAAGACACTTGCAAATTTAATTCAATTCTTGAAAGTATTAGGTTTCAGAAAATTACAAGTTTCAGAACCTAAAAAATCTACTTTTGTGGAGAAAAATATAAGTAAAAATAATTTTAGTTTGCCCCAACACGAAAGAGAAAACTTAAAAGAAACACATGATATTGACTCACTATTTTAACTTTAAATGCGCATCTGGTGCATCAAAATTGGCACCGTATATGATTTACATGTACAAAGTTTAGCCACTAGCATGAACAGAAAGGCCATAAGTTGTTTTCTGTTTATTTTTTTAACTCTCCCTCGCCCTCTTTTTTTTGTAAGACAGAATCTTTGACTTCATGCTTCAAAATGAGACATTTCCCTTTTCGGAACCCCTTTGCTCGTTTAAATGTCCATTGAAATGCATTGTAGCGTCACGGTAGCGACTACGACAAGAAGTAGTTTTGAGGTATCCTGCGGGGATTTTATCTTTTGAAATCACAATAACATTGAAGAATTCAATAATGCAAATGTGAATACAATGAACGATCCCCCTTTTTGGTTACGTTCGTTCGTAAGATGTCGGTATTTCTCTTATATGAGTGAAAAATTCTCGAACGGGACGTTAAACAACATGCAATCAATCAATCAATCTTTGGGTACCAATATTTTTGGCTTCCAACCTTGATCTTTGAGTTTGACGTACTTTTGAAAAACTTTAACTTTGGCCATAAGAATTTTTGAATGCTTTGTGCTAGGGCTTTCATATTTTACATGTGTATTCCTTTGCTCTGCTCCAAATTTGTATCGTTTCATTGGACTTTCGAGATTGAATACTGTTCGTTATCTTCATATTTCATTGTGACAAGATCTTTCTTTGGATGCCAACATATTTGACCTCTTGCTCTTTAATTTGACTTTGACCTACTTTTGCAAAAGTTTACCAAACTTTCACTTTGACTATAACTTTTGAACAGTTGGTGCTAGGGCTTTTATATTTCATATGTATATTTCACGTCACAAGGCCTTTCTTTGAGAGCCAATATTTTTTTACCTTTTTACCTTGAAGTTTGACCTACTTTTGAAAAGTTTAACCTTGGCCATAACTTTTAAACGGTTGGTGCTGAGCTTTCATTTATCAAATGGGTATTCCTTGCGACTTAACCTTTCTTGGGGTATCAACATTTTTTTTTACCTTTTCACCTTGACCTTTGTTTGACCGACTTTTGAAAAAACATTAACCTTGGCCATAACTTTTGAACGTTGGTGCTACAACTTTCATGTATCACATGTCTATTTCTTGTGATAAGCCTTTTTTGTGGATACCAACATTTTTTATGACCTCATGACCTCGACCTATAATTTTGGCCTAAATTTGAAAAAAAAAAACTTTAACCTTGGTCACATTTTCTGAATGATTGGTGTTAGGAATTTAACACGCACATGGATTCCTTCTGACAAGACCTTTCTCTGGATACCAACATTTTTGAACTCTTTACATTGACATTTGACTTACATTTGAAAAACTTTTACCTTGGCCATGAGCTAAGGCATCAGTGTCTTACAAACACATCTTGTTTTTTTCACATTTTGTTTGTAAAATCTTTCCATAAACAATTATAAATTGAGAGTAGATCAAATATAACCTTGGAAACACCAAATCACCATGATGGGTGATTTTAACTTGTTTACAAGAGAGAACCTGAAAGCACTTTTAAATTTAAATATTATATCATACAATGTAAAGAAAACTGGGAGGTTTTAATATACCATTTAAATAGAAATATAGCAAATAAGTACTTGAAATGTCCTAAATATACAAACACCTTCTAAATCAACCTTTTGTATTAAAAGTTATCATCTTTCAGATTTCATGTTACATGTATAAATATTTTAACCATAAAAGATTCGACTAAGTATTATAAAGAATTTTACATAAACACGTTAGAAACGTACCGTATAACGGGTATTTTCTGCCGTTGTCCAATTTTTTGCGGAATTTTGCGAATAGGACAAATCCGCAAAAATTACAATCGCAAAATATTTTTTCAATGTTTAATCAGATATTTTATACATGCAGTTATGATAAGTGGTGCGTATGTCTGACAGGGTTCTAATTAACGCATGAACCTGCGTACTGGACACAGCAAAATTATTTGGAACGCAAGGTTTTTTAAAATCGATGCATCCGCAGACTCATGACTTGCCACGTCCTCGTTAGCGAGAAAATTCGGTTGTCATCGAAATTCGAATATTTTAGATGTCAGGATTTGTCCAAAACATATTGAATCAAAACCTTCCTGTAAATAATATCAATTGAATAAGTTGATACAAAAACATCTTTTCTTGTACCTATTTCGCAATTACATGTATTAGTCCAAACTCCGATAGCTGCAAACAACACTTGGTAGCTTTTCTTTTTTAAACACTTTTTTCAATCTTGTGTTTTATCTTGAGACAATAATTACTGCTTGTATACTATGGCATGTCAAATGTTGCAATATTCGATCTTTTCCATTTGTATTGTATAATTTTCTATTTGTATTGTATAATTTTCCATTTGTATTGTAAAAGTTCCCATTTGTATTCTATAATTTTTCATTTGTATTCTATAATTTTTCATTTGTATTCTATAATTTTTCATTTGTATTCTATAATTTTTCATTTGCATTGTAAAATTTTTATTTGTATTCTATATTTTTCATTTGTATTCAATAATTCTTCATTTGTATTGTATAATTTTTTATTTGTATTGTATATTTTTTATTTGTATTGTATAATTTTTATTTGTATTGTATAATTTTCAATTTGTATTCTTTAATTTTTCATTTGTATTGTATAATTTTTATTTGTATTGTATAATTCTCCATTTGTATTGTATAATTTTCCATTTGTATTGTATAATTTCTCATTTGTATTGTAAAATTATAGAATACAAATGGAAATTTATACAATACAAATGGAAAATTATACAATACAAATGGAAAATTATAGAATACAAATAAAAATTATACAATACAAATGAAAAATTATACAACATAAATGAAAAATTATTGAATACAAATGGAAAGTTATACAATGCAAATAAAAATTATACAATACAAATGAAAAAATATACAATACAAATGAAATATTATAGAATACAAATAAAAATTTTACAATACAAATGAAAAATTATAGAATACAAATGGAAAATTATAGAATACAAATAAACATTATACAATACAAATGGAAAATTATAGAATATAAATGGAGAATTATAGAATATAAATGGAAAATTATACAATACAAATGGAAAAGATCGAATATTGCAACGTTTGACATGCCATAGTATACACAATGTGGCTCGATTGTCTCGTGAATTTCACTTAAATTTTCACTGACAGTATAAGTTACGCCTCAATGCACATGACACCTGTGATTGTTAACCTCAACTTTAGGGTACTAGATTATGCGACTGTTTGTTTTAACTTAAAATATAAACACCAAATTAATTTTGATGGCATTAACTAGAATATGGCTTGGATGCATTTATTATCATTATCTATATATTTAAATATTTTAATAGATCGCATAAAACGTCTTTTAGAATGAAGATTTTTATTGTTGTTTGGATGGACTAAGAATTTTTACAAACACTAACTAAAAGATAGTAGTTTAATTAAGCTTAATAGCTAATACCAGTTCTCATACACCTTTGATCATTATTTCTTAATGAATTTATAAAACTTAAACATGACAGCGTTCTGATAATTCATAAAGTTTATAGTGCATGATCATACCCCGTAAATAAATTTTTGCGGTATAATGCAACCGCAGAAATTAAAAACGCAGAAATTAATTTGCTACCTTTTAGGGGTTAAATCGCAAAAATTTCCAACCGCAGAAAATACCCGTTATATATATATATATATATATATATATATATATATATATATATATATATATATATATATATATATATATATATATATAATTTTTAATTGTATACATTTATCATTAGAAAATAAAAGAGCCACTGGATATAATTTAAGGCACACTGATATGAGAGGATCGACCACATAGAGGATTTGGACCCCATTATAAAAAAAAAGAACAACGATCGAGTGAAATTGCCACTTTTATTACCATTTTGCCAAACTAACAAGTTTAGTGAAATCATCTTCCCAAAGTATAATCAATAAGATTATACATTCATTTTTCCAAGTTAATCAAAAAAATATAATTTTTGGTAGAAATATGTAATGGTCTTTGTCATACGTAAAGTAAAAGAGAGTAAAATTGACTAACCATACTTGTATAAAATTTCGCTTCATGAAATTAAAAATTCAAATTCAAAAAGGTCTTCTTAAAAGATTTAAAAGTGATAGTCGAAATATGATTTTTTTTTCTGTGACGCACATCCTCTTGATGGAACGCTTATAGCTGTTAATCAGAGATGGTATGCAGCAAAAATCCTGAAATGTGTGCATGGGCACCAGATGAACAATAAAGCCAGATCCAGAATATTTTCTAACCCAGACCCTATCTCCAACCTTTAAACTCAGACAAACTAGATTGGTTCCGGTTTGGTAAATGTACTCCTGTTTCTTTTGCAGGAATCCTCTGCTGTCAGCAAATGTTCTGACTTGGCTTTTACCATTCAAAACAATATCTGTGGCTATTGTTATCCCAGGATACGATGGTTGTGTAGAAAACATAGCTTCCATTAATGGGTGCTGTAAAAACACCATCACGTGGGTTGTAGCCTCCTCCCACATTTGTGATGACATCTGGGAATACCATATCAGTTCTCTGATGCGAATAGTGGCCAAAGCCTGCCGTAAATGCAACTATTCATGTTCCAAAATCTTGAAAAAGAAAAAAATCCTCCGATTCGATGGAAATTGCAAATTGTGGAAAATCAAGAAAAAGACATTAATTCAAAGATAAGTGGCCAGAAGGACATTTCTTAAGGAATTATCTTACCTTTCTTTTTTCCTGATACATTCTTTATGACCAATTCTAGCGAAGTCAAGGTAGACGACATATTCACTGATTATCCTCCAACTTCTTTGCCCGACCGTCCAGTTTTGAAACCGAATTGTTGAGGTCCTTTTGATGTTTAGAGAAAGTCGCCATATTCTCGTCAACAGCTTTATACTTTTCATCATATTCATGAATCTTTCTCTGACAATCCATCACAATATTTCCAAGTCGTTTGTTTCTAGCTGAAGAGCGTTGACCCGAGAGTTTAATGTCTCTACCCTCTGCTGAAAGTTGTACATTGTACTTTCAGCCGACTTGATGCTTCATTTTACAGACTCAGTGTCGTGCATTAATGTCTGAACATTCTTGGCCACAGTTAAGCCTATACTAGCGCCTTGATTGAGGATCTGTTTCACAAAGTCCAGTTTATTACACTTAATTCCTTGTCTTTTATCATTCAAAGCTCTGGAGTTGCGTTCCTCGGAACCAATTTTTGACGAAATGGCCCTTGCCTTGCCACTGATAATCAAAACCAAGCATAGAGCAAAAACCTTCATTCCATCGAAAGAAGATATAATGAATAGAACAAAAATATATATAACGAGAGGGAGAGAGCAAATGATCGAGAAGGTCTATGAAGATTAAATTACTAGTATGTCGTGTATATAAAATACTGTACATGTATGTAACATCTGTCATTTCTGATAAAGTAAATTAAAATACAATGACACTTCATATTACGTGATTTTTTTCTGAAGGTAAGGGATGAGGTACATGTAAAGAGGCTGTCGTAAATATACCCCTTCATAATCATATATAAAAACCATTAATTAAGGAGGCTGGGGGTCAACAAATTAACCATCAGATATAACTTATTTTTTTTTTAGATATGATATCTTAATCTGTCAACTATCATTTGTCAAAGAAAAAAATTCAAACATTTTAGTTTTAAAATTTGATCATTTTTGTATATCTTTATATGGAGCTCTTCTTCTAAAGGAGATCAAATGAATATAATCTAAAAATGGCCACGACCACCCAGCCCTCTTAAAGAGGCTGGGGGGTTGTGGCCATTTTTAGACTATATTGATCTCCTCAAGAAGAAGAGTTCCATATGAAGATATAGAAAATGATCAAATTTTAAAACTAAAATTTTTGAAATTTTTCTTTGCCAAATGATAGTTGACAGCTTAAGATATCATATCTAAAAAATTAAGTTAAATCTGGTGGTTAATTTGTGGTAAATTTGTTGACCCCCCAGCCTCCTTAAGTCTTACTAAACATTGGCAATTGACATTATAATTACTTCATGTTCACCAAAGACAAGATAAAAAAGAAACGAAGAAATTATTCAAGCAATTTGATTTTCCTGTGAATAAATATCCAAATATCTTTGATTGAGGGAAAACAGGTACTAATATTCAAAATGTTAAATTAAAATACAATTACTAGTAGACCAGACCACAGGTTGTACAGCCATTCTCCTTTCAAGCAAATAGCTAAATACTGGCATTTTTCTTCAAAAGAGAGATGATCCCTGTGACTAATAAGAATTTTATTCTTCAAAAGGCTGCTATTCTCGCACAGAAGTTTTATAAATTCTCTTGTCTGACTTCTCTTTAATCAGTTCCTATGGTTTTATACGTATTCCTGATACGACCTCGTTTGATCTTCCACCCTTTCTTCTTTGTGTAGTTCACTGACCGTTTATCCCGAGTATCAACCTTTGTCTTTTGAAGATCCAACTTTACGTAAACAAATCAATAGTCCCCTAAGTAAACCAGCATTACCTGGTATATCAGTGATTCTCCATCCCTGTCCAAACTTCATAAAAATTTAATTTCTTTTATATATCCTTTATCTACGATGAAACAGGACAACATTTGCCATCTTGGATTTGTGAATGCTATTCAATTCACATTCACCATTTCGGTAAAAGATTGAATGATTTCTTGAATGCAGTCATCTGCCGACTCGTGTTTTGTCAAACCTCCGGGTATATTTTAGCGGGGTGGAGAATCTGATAATCAAAAACACTCGCAAATTAAACCGATGACCCCAAAAAGGCTAGACTTCCTTATCATGTATTATGTGCTGGCACGAAAAAGATCCCTCACTCTTCAATGGCCCTGAGTTCCGAGTATAGGTCAAAATGTGTAGCCCTCCACCGGCAAGTGGTGGCGTCTCCATATGACTGAAAAATTTTCGAGAGGGACAATAAACAACAAACAAACAAACAAAATTATAATCTAATATGGACTGCTCATGTTGTCGTTACTGCTTTAGCATATCGACCATCAGCTATCAAGTGTCTATATGTTTAAATGCACTTTGTGCTTAAAATCCACAACACAAGGTAAAGCATTTTCCAATATTCGATACGCAATCTCAACATTACATCAGTATTATTTATGACTGAAAAAATCCTTTCCATTTGAACTTTAGTACTATAGAAATAATGTGGATCTTTTTTTGTAGGTTTGAACTAGTGTTTTACATTACTGGATATAACAATGATTTGTTTTTATCAGGAATCTAACTTGAATCAGGCACGTAGTAGTATCGTTTTTGAAAGTGTGGTGGCCAGCCAGAAAAAAATTGACAGCTACATGAAAAAATTGACAAGCAAAAGAAAAAAGACAAATGGGGATAATTGTCCAAACTCGCTCGACAAACCATTTGATTAGATGAGTAAAAAGCTAAAACTCTAAGTAAACTCAGTTATTAAAACAACTTTGACAAGCATATTATTCTAATGATTTATTCCCCAATTCTTTTTAAATTCCGTATGCTTGTGCAAAAATCTCTATAGTCATGAGCACCCATGAGTAACACTGATCTTTCAACACAGTCATTTTTTGTAAGAAACATTATCAATCTTATCAATTAAAGATTTTTTTCACATGAGGGATTTTTCACAAGCATATTACATTTCCCCTCATTTATTTGACAAAGACAAAGACTTTTCTTCAAGACCTTATAGACGTACCACACCTGACAACATGTAGACCTGCAAGAAACATCCAGTAATTTAGTGTTTCATGGAATGGACCTTGTTCCACAGCTAGGGCCGATTCAATATATTTATATTAAAAATTATTGGAACCCCAGGAGCCAGTAGTTTGGTTTATTATTTACATCCTATACAAACCACTCCGGCAACACAAACTCGCGTGTTTTACCTCGTCATACTTTTGAAAGGTCATACGACCTTTCTTAAAAGACATTTACACTGAATATTCATAGTTTTGTTCTGAATAAAAGAATCCATATTTTAATTACAACTTAGGCACAAGACATAGGACAAATCTTCGTGAACATATGATAGACTAAACGAAAAAACAATGGTTCTAAAAAGCCTTTCTAAAGGATCATTTAATACCCCACCCTGCTACTAATACAGTGCACTGTCACAGCGTTTGATACGATCGCTAAATATTGTTCAAGTACCATTTAAACAGATTAGTGTGCAAGGAAGAAAAACATGTCATCCTTGGTACAAAGTTTTCGATGAGTTTGCCATTCCTTATGTTTGAAGCGCATCCCCTATGGTGTAGTCATTAATTAGAACAACCCAGATAGCAAGACATTGTTGGGCCAACGTTGGCCCAATTTTTTTTTCCAACGTTGGCCCACTGTTGGTAGTCCTACGTTGGCCCACGGTCATTTTGCTCATCGGCCCAACGTTGGTCCAACATGATGGTATATTGTTGAGCCAACGTAGGTATAATTGTAAGCCAACTAACAGCCAACCTTGACAACTGGTTGGTTAGGTTGGCCCAATGTTGGGCCTTTGTTGAAATGTCAGACGGCATATTGTTGGGCCAACGTAGTTATTATAGTAAGCCAACTAACAGCCAACATAGAAACAACATTTGCAATCGGTTAGTTAGGTTGGCCCAACGTTGACCCTTCATTGAATGATTGGTCCGATATTTACGGTTTATTGGCCTTAAGGTCAAGATCTAGTAAATGACTTCAGACTAACTTTTTGGTGCTAGATCCATTATGATGTCATAATCAATTTTAACTTTCTTTTTCCCGTACTTTACGGCTCTAGTAGAATTTTGTAGAAAATAAAGTATTTTCATGGAATTCAATTTGAAATCATGTGAAAAGTAATCCCGATACCTATATTCAATTTGATATTATTTTAAAGAAGAGGCCAAGAACATACATATTACCGTTTTCTGTGAGACTGTAGGCAATCTGGATACTTTTCTTTGTCTGATATGGAAAAAAACTCCCGTATTCATGACTGGTTATCTTAATTTTCCATTGCAAATGACAGTTTAAAACATGATTTTTCGTCTTGTTCATCTACAAATTATGCCCCGCAACACCTTATTTGACCAAGCTAAAGTTATAAAGCATCATTAAAGGAATTTATTTCTCAAATTTGAGAAATCTGTAGGCACCTTTCATTTACTAGATCTTGACCTTAAGCTTCTTTCTGTTGGCCAATTGTTGGATGAAACTTACATCTGTTTAAATAAATTGAATGAATACTTCTTGAAAATACATTTATAAATAATTCTTTATATAGACCTTTCTCATAATTGTTTAAAAAAAATAATACACACTTCAACCTGCATTCATAATGCATACACGTTCAAAGAAAACATTACAAGTGATTCACTGTAAAATTATTTTATAGATATATATCAATTCAATCAGCATTTACAAAATTACTTTTAAAATAGATAATGGTGGAAATGTATGAAAAAATATTAATTTAAAGTTCTTAATCCTGGCTCACTTCCTCTATCACTGTCCTTTTGTTTTGTTTCCCGCTCTTTCTTTTTTCCCTCCCTTTGTCGCCTCCCCAGGCCTCCATCTTGATCTTAGGCATACGTACTTCTTACAGTCCTTTATGTTCTTCAGTTTCATTGTCAGTTACCGCTACAACATTTGTTTTCCTTACAGTCTCTGATTGAAAATACAAATAATTTGGTAATGGAAACAAAGCAAGTACTGATACAGACTCCAATGTATAAATCATGTAATTAAGTCTTTTAAAG